GAGGGAGCTCAAGGGTTGGGTTAATGTCCTCCCACGGGACGTGGGGATCCAGAGTGTCCTGGGCCTGCTGGTCAGCCTGGAGTTGAGACAGCAGCTGGTCCAGCGTGACCTCCACATCGTCCACGGTGTAGGTGTCTCTCGCGACGGGGTGGGGTTCCGGGTCGTGGTCGTGGCGTGGTCCCGAGGGCTGTGCCGCTGCAGGCGAGGACACTGGGAAGGAGGGCGGTGGGGAGGGCGGACTCCAAGTCTGGACGCCCAAGCCTAGTGCAGCAGCCGGTGGCAACAGGTCGTCCTGGGCATGCTGCTCCGTCTCCCTGGGGCTGCAAGGTGGTCCTTCAGGCTCCGCATTGGACGCAGGGGAAGGCGGCGGCGGTGGCGGCGAAGCCCGGGAGTCTTGACCTCGACCTCTGTCCCCGCCACCGCCAGGGTGGCGCGCTCTCCGGTTTTGGAACCAGATGGAGATGGTGTCCTCAGGCAAACCGGTCTCTTGGGCGAGCTTCACCCTGGCAGCATATTTCGGCTGCGGGTCCCGCTCAAACACCTGGAGCAGGATCCTCAACTGTGCCGGGCTGAGTCGAGTGCGACGCCTGGTGCGTCCCTCGTCGGGGCTGCTTCTTCCACCTCCTCGTGCCCGGGCACCAGGCCCTCTGGGTCGCTGCTGAGGGGACGCTAGGCCGCTTGGTCCCGCCGACCCCTCGGGGCCTCGGCGGCCGCGCACCTCCCTGGTGCGATTTCGGCGATTCTGAAACCACACGCGGATGCGGGACTCAGGCAGCCCCAGTTCCCTGGCCAGCTCCTCCCTGGCCCTGAAGCTTGGGTAAGGGTTCTCAGCGAAAGCTGCCAGCAGGGTGTCCTGCTGCCCGGCTTTCCAAACAGTCCTTTGGCGCCGGGATGCCAGGGCCCCAGTGCTGTCCCCCAGATTGCTGCTGCTGCTGCTGCTGCGATCTTCCATCGGGTCAAGGTAGCCTTGCCAGGACTCCTGCCACTGGCCAGTCGAAGCAGGACCGCTCAGGAGGAGAGCTCCAGCATGGAGTGAGTGCCTCCAGGAGTGGTCCCCGGGACTTTTATACTTGCCTACTTGCCGGCGGCCCCGCCCACTAACCGGATCCCTGGCGCCTGGCACAGCAGCCTGGGATTGCAGGCCCACTGGGTGCGGGAGGGGGAGGGGTTGGGGTTGGGGAGGGGGGCCTCAGCCCGCTTGCTTGCCGGAAGGTCAGCCCGGATCTCCACAGGTGCAGAGCACACCACCTTCGCCAAAGGGTCCAGGGAGCTTTGAGAACCTCTCCGTGGAAGACACAGGCGGACCCCTCCACTTCTTGCCTGAGCACTCCGACTATGGATTTTGCTAAAACCCACCCTAAAGCAGGTTAACCCCACCCTAAAGCAGGTTAACCCCACCCTAAAGCAGATTAACCCCACCCTAAGGCTGCTTTGCCTGAAACCAGTGGCTGGCCTTTCTCTGCCCAAGTTGACCCACTGTGCCATGAGAAACAAACCATGCAGAGTCTGCCTGTGTGGAAATTGACATCCATGGGGATTGAGGAGGTCAAGGAGGACTAGGAGGACAGGAGGAGGAGGAGGAGGAGGAGGAGGAGGACGAGAAGGAGGAAGAGGAGGAGGAGGAGGAGGAGAAGGATACCAGACCAAGGCTTCAGATAGGCTGGCAGGGACACACACACACACACACACACACACACACACACACACACACACACACACAAACACAAACACACATTCCACCCCAGTACTCCAGGAAGAAAACGGGAACCCTTTGCCAGGCACTGGTTTCAGGCAAAGCAGTTGTTTTCCAAAAGCTACAAGACTGGCCACCAGATGGCAGCTATCAGGGTTCTAGAGACTGTGAAGAGCAGAGGAGCTACCGGGTCCGTGTGTGGAGAACATGAGTGGAATGCTTGCCTTAGGTGCACTTGCATTTCATGGCAGACCTAGGGAGGCAGAAGCAGGTGCATCCCTGTGGTTTGGGGGCGGGATGGGTGTACCTAAGGATTTCCAGGACACTGCCTCACAAAAAGTAAATAAATAAATAAATAAATACATAAATACATAAATAAATAAATAAATAAATATATAAAAAGTGGTGGAGGGTTTTCTGTGCATATAGGGTGGACTGTGTGTGTGAGAGGGGATGGTCTGTGGTGTCAGGTCTTCAGAGCTGAGTCTTTAAAGGAGAGTCAAGAGATTTTGGGAGGTTACAGTGTGCTGTGGAGCAGAGCTTGTGGCAGAGTGTGTTGTTTTGGAAGCTGTGACATGGTGGTGACTGTGTAACAGACTCCTCTCTACTGAGTTCCATGGAGGCCTTAGAAGGCCTGTTTTTGGGCTTGGGTGCTGCCCGCTCCTCCTGCCAGGCTCTCGGCCGTGGCCTCCCACTGGGGAACACAAGTAGTAGGTGCTTGCTTGGTGAAGTCAACTTGAACGCAGGTCCAGGGATGCTAGGAATGGGGCACGAGGTTCAACGAAGCCTTGCTGTGTCTCCCAACAGATCCAGCAGGAGGGTCCGGTACTCTTCTTGGTCCAGAGGGAGCTCAAGGGTTGGGTTAATGTCCTCCCACGGGACGTGGGGATCCAGAGTGTCCTGGGCCTGCTGGTCAGCCTGGAGTTGAGACAGCAGCTGGTCCAGCGTGACCTCCACATCGTCCACGGTGTAGGTGTCTCTCGCGACGGGGTGGGGTTCCGGGTCGTGGTCGTGGCGTGGTCCCGAGGGCTGTGCCGCTGCAGGCGAGGACACTGGGAAGGAGGGCGGTGGGGAGGGCGGACTCCAAGTCTGGACGCCCAAGCCTAGTGCAGCAGCCGGTGGCAACAGGTCGTCTTGGGCATGCTGCTCCGTCTCCCTGGGGCTGCAAGGTGGTCCTTCAGGCTCCGCATTGGACGCAGGGGAAGGCGGCGGCGGTGGCGGCGAAGCCCGGGAGTCTTGACCTCGACCTCTGTCCCCGCCACCGCCAGGGTGGCGCGCTCTCCGGTTTTGGAACCAGATGGAGATGGTGTCCTCAGGCAAACCGGTCTCTTGGGCGAGCTTCACCCTGGCAGCATATTTCGGCTGCGGGTCCCGCTCAAACACCTGGAGCAGGATCCTCAACTGTGCCGGGCTGAGTCGAGTGCGACGCCTGGTGCGTCCCTCGTCGGGGCTGCTTCTTCCACCTCCTCGTGCCCGGGCACCAGGCCCTCTGGGTCGCTGCTGAGGGGACGCTAGCCCGCTTGGTCCCGCCGACCCCTCGGGGCCTCGGCGGCCGCGCACCTCCCTGGTGCGATTTCGGCGATTCTGAAACCACACGCGGATGCGGGACTCAGGCAGCCCCAGTTCCCTGGCCAGCTCCTCCCTGGCCCTGAAGCTTGGGTAAGGGTTCTCAGCGAAAGCTGCCAGCAGGGTGTCCTGCTGCCCGGCTTTCCAAACAGTCCTTTGGCGCCGGGATGCCAGGGCCCCAGTGCTGTCCCCCAGATTGCTGCTGCTGCTGCTGCTGCGATCTTCCATCGGGTCAAGGTAGCCTTGCCAGGACTCCTGCCACTGGCCAGTCGAAGCAGGACCGCTCAGGAGGAGAGCTCCAGCATGGAGTGAGTGCCTCCAGGAGTGGTCCCCGGGACTTTTATACTTGCCTACTTGCCGGCGGCCCCGCCCACTAACCGGATCCCTGGCGCCTGGCACAGCAGCCTGGGATTGCAGGCCCACTGGGTGCGGGAGGGGGAGGGGTTGGGGTTGGGGAGGGGGGCCTCAGCCCGCTTGCTTGCCGGAAGGTCAGCCCGGATCTCCACAGGTGCAGAGCACACCACCTTCGCCAAAGGGTCCAGGGAGCTTTGAGAACCTCTCCGTGGAAGACACAGGCGGACCCCTCCACTTCTTGCCTGAGCACTCCGACTATGGATTTTGCTAAAACCCACCCTAAAGCAGGTTAACCCCACCCTAAAGCAGGTTAACCCCACCCTAAAGCAGATTAACCCCACCCTAAGGCTGCTTTGCCTGAAACCAGTGGCTGGCCTTTCTCTGCCCAAGTTGACCCACTGTGCCATGAGAAACAAACCATGCAGAGTCTGCCTGTGTGGAAATTGACATCCATGGGGATTGAGGAGGTCAAGGAGGACTAGGAGGACAAGGAGGAGGAGGAGGACGAGGAGGAGGACGAGAAGGAGGAAGAGGAGGAGGAGGAGGAGAAGGATACCAGACCAAGGCTTCAGATAGGCTGGCAGGGACACACACACACACACACACACACACACACACACACACACACACACACACAAACACAAACACACATTCCACCCCAGTACTCCAGGAAGAAAACGGGAACCCTTTGCCAGGCACTGGTTTCAGGCAAAGCAGTTGTTTTCCAAAAGCTACAAGACTGGCCACCAGATGGCAGCTATCAGGGTTCTAGAGACTGTGAAGAGCAGAGGAGCTACCGGGTCCGTGTGTGGAGAACATGAGTGGAATGCTTGCCTTAGGTGCACTTGCATTTCATGGCAGACCTAGGGAGGCAGAAGCAGGTGCATCCCTGTGGTTTGGGGGCGGGATGGGTGTACCTAAGGATTTCCAGGACACTGCCTCACAAAAAGTAAATAAATAAATAAATAAATACATAAATACATAAATAAATAAATAAATAAATAAATAAAAAGTGGTGGAGGGTTTTCTGTGCATATAGGGTGGACTGTGTGTGTGAGAGGGGATGGTCTGTGGTGTCAGGTCTTCAGAGCTGAGTCTTTAAAGGAGAGTCAAGAGATTTTGGGAGGTTACAGTGTGCTGTGGAGCAGAGCTTGTGGCAGAGTGTGTTGTTTTGGAAGCTGTGACATGGTGGTGACTGTGTAACAGACTCCTCTCTACTGAGTTCCATGGAGGCCTTAGAAGGCCTGTTTTTGGGCTTGGGTGCTGCCCGCTCCTCCTGCCAGGCTCTCGGCCGTGGCCTCCCACTGGGGAACACAAGTAGTAGGTGCTTGCTTGGTGAAGTCAACTTGAACGCAGGTCCAGGGATGCTAGGAATGGGGCACGAGGTTCAACGAAGCCTTGCTGTGTCTCCCAACAGATCCAGCAGGAGGGTCCGGTACTCTTCTTGGTCCAGAGGGAGCTCAAGGGTTGGGTTAATGTCCTCCCACGGGACGTGGGGATCCAGAGTGTCCTGGGCCTGCTGGTCAGCCTGGAGTTGAGACAGCAGCTGGTCCAGCGTGACCTCCACATCGTCCACGGTGTAGGTGTCTCTCGCGACGGGGTGGGGTTCCGGGTCGTGGTCGTGGCGTTGTCCCGAGGGCTGTGCCGCTGCAGGCGAGGACACTGGGAAGGAGGGCGGTGGGGAGGGCGGACTCCAAGTCTGGACGCCCAAGCCTAGTGCAGCAGCCGGTGGCAACAGGTCGTCTTGGGCATGCTGCTCCGTCTCCCTGGGGCTGCAAGGTGGTCCTTCAGGCTCCGCATTGGACGCAGGGGAAGGCGGCGGCGGTGGCGGCGAAGCCCGGGAGTCTTGACCTCGACCTCTGTCCCCGCCACCGCCAGGGTGGCGCGCTCTCCGGTTTTGGAACCAGATGGAGATGGTGTCCTCAGGCAAACCGGTCTCTTGGGCGAGCTTCACCCTGGCAGCGTATTTCGGCTGCGGGTCCCGCTCAAACACCTGGAGCAGGATCCTCAACTGTGCCGGGCTGAGTCGAGTGCGACGCCTGGTGCGTCCCTCGTCGGGGCTGCTTCTTCCACCTCCTCGTGCCCGGGCCCCAGGCCCTTTGGGTCGCTGCTGAGGGGACGCTAGCCCGCTTGGTCCCGCCGACCCCTCGGGGCCTCGGCGGCAGTGCACCTCCCTGGTGCGATTTCTGCGGTTCTGAAACCACAAGGTTTTATGGGACTCAGGAAGGCCCAGTTCCCTGGCCAGGTCCTGCCTGGCCCTGAAACTTGGTTAAGGGTTCTTGGTGAGAGCTGCCAGCAGGGCGTCCTGCTGCCCGGCTTTCCAAACATTTCTTTGTTGCCAGGGTGCCAGGGCCCCAGTGCTGTCCCCCAGATTGCTACTGCTGCTGCTGCTGCTGCTGCTGTGATCTTCCATCGGGTCAAGTTAGCCTTGCCCGGACCACTGCCACTGACGAGTCTAAGCAAGACCGCTCAGGAGCAAAGCGTCAACCATGGATAAGAACTACAGGAGTTAATTTTCTTGAGCTGAATGTTTTGTTAAGGGAAGAATGTTAAGGCTTTTTGCGTTTTATCTGATCTTTCAGCTTTCACCGTGATATCTGTCTTTAGGTTTTCTATTAACAAGACGTTTTACCAATTTGTATTGCACTTGTAATATGTGCAAAGATCTCAACATCTAAATCTCCAGATAGTTAATCAGCCATGTTCACTGTTATTCTTTTCACAAAAGCCTAACAATGGATAATGAACATTGTAACCTATACACCATGGGATACTGTTTTGTGCTAAATAAAAACCAAACAACGAACATTTTTGGTAAATAGATGGATTTGGAATATATATTGGGTTAGGTAACTCAACACCAGAATGACAAGCCTTGTCATTTCTTCGTGGAGGCAGACAAATATTTCCTAGTGAGATCTGAGCTTACTTTACCTAGCTGCCCTGCATTAGAGGATTGTTTGACCATGTGCATGATTACTCGGTGGTTGGCAGGGTCATCACTTGGCTCAGTTAGAGGGAGATCTTTTCTCATCCCCCTTGGCATTCCTATACAATGCCCTTCAGTGGAGACAGAAAGGGCCAGTGGATAATGATCCAGGGCTTCCCAAGGCTATCCTGTATTTCTCTCCCATCTATACTTCTACCTCTATATTTCTTTTTTTCACAAATCTTTTTTTTAAGATTTATTTATGTATTATGTATACAGTGTTCTGCCTGCATGTATGCCTGCAGGCCAGAATAGGGCACCAGATCTCATTACAGATGGTTGTGAGCCACCTTATGGTTGCTGGGAATTGAACTCAGGACCTCTGGAAGAGCAGTCAGTGCTCTTAACCTCTGAGCCATCTCTCCAGCCCCCCTACCTCTATATTTCTATATCCATCTCTTATCCCTCTTTCCTCAAGAATTCCTTGTCAGAGAAAAGTGGAAGCTGGTCTCCCACACTCATTGGAAGCTCCTAAGTCTGAATCTTTGGATGTGAATACATCCCCTGTAGTAGCTATAGAAATCAGGAAAGCAAAATGGGACAATTGCCAGAAAAAGTTGGTTATGGAGGAATAGAAAGGGGAATAGTAAGGTACAAGTAATCAGGTCATGCAAATGGGAAAGGGGTGGGTGTACCCTGGGAAGGGTAGTGGGGCAAACACAGATGGTGGTAAGAGAGTAAAGGGAGATTATATAATCCATGTGTTTTGACAGTGTATGTGGGAAATGTGGAAGCTCCCTGGGGGTAAAGGGGAATGGCAGCATACCAGTAAACTCACAGAGGAAATGGAAAATGTAGAGCTTCTTAGGGAGGGAACTGGTCATTAATACAGAAGATGGCAGTAAGAAGATAAACAGGAATCCTGGGATACACTTGATGAGAAATGGAGGGCTGGAGGTAGATAAATACAGAAAGAGGTAGGTAAAATAATAGTATGTATGTCTCAAAAAGCTATCAAGGTATCATAGTATTAACTGTTTACCCAAACAAATCATCAACAAAAACTGAACAATAACACACATAATTTTCAGTGTAATATATATATATATATATATATATATATATATATATATATATTTAATGAAATTTTCCCATCTGGGCTGATATAACTCCCTCCATGAACCAAAGGCCATCTTACAAAAACCACAATATCAGAAGTGACAATCCATCTTTTGAGATTTTGGTCAGGGCTATCTAACAGATTCCCAAAGCATACAGCCCATTGTTGTTACCTTCATTACCCCCACAGCAGTGGAAGTTAAATCCCTATTGCTGAAGACACTATGCTCAATGCTGCTGAGCTGGAAATTATCTAAAGAAATTACACTTCTTGAATCCTCGCTATCATGATACCAGAAGCACTCTGAAAGCTTCCAAATGAGAGAGAACCAACAGCCTCACCCAGATATGACAGCTATCACGCACATCAATAATCAGCATGGTACAATGATTCTAAAGGTGCAATGTGGACACACATAACTCCCTAGTTGGACTTAAGACCTGTTCAACAAGAATAAAATCATGCCTGGTGCTTGAAAACTAGCTAACTATTCAGTGTTAGTGGAATCAGTTATTTCATGAGAATCCACAACCAGCAATTTAGTCATTCTGTATAATTCCTAACAGTCTAAAAGCATTTGCCCTTATATCCACAGATAAATACAGTCTTCATTCTTCATTAAGGAAATTTCTCTTTATTTTAATTTTTCAATTTTACTTTATTTAACTTTTCATTTATTTTACATATTGAGCACAGTTTCCCCTCCTTCCTCTCCTCCCATTCCCTCTCCCTGCCTCCCATCTTCCTACCTCCCCATCCACTCCTCCTCTTTCTACATTCAGAAAGAGACAGGCCTCCCATGGCCTTGAACAAAGTATGACACATCAAGTTGAGGTAGGAATGAGCTCCTCCACCTGCTTCAAGTCTGGGCAAGGTAATCCAAAATGGGGAAACAGGTCCACAAAAGCTAGCTAAGTTCCAGGAACAGGTCCTGATCAAACTGGTAGGAGCTTTACAATTAGAACAAGCTACACAACTGTCACACACATTTGGAGGGCCTACATCAGTCCAATGCAAGCTCCCTAACTGTCATGTGTTTCCATGATCTCAGATCAGCTGTCTCTGTGGGTTTCCCCATCATGACCTTAAACCTCCTCCCCATCATACAATCCTTCCTCTCTTCCTTCAAGAGGACTCACAGACCTCAGGCCAGTGCTTGGCTATGAATCTCTGCATCTATTTCCACTGGTTACTGGATAAAGGCTCTCTGATGAAAATTAGGGTACTCACCAATCTGATTACAGTAGATGTCAGTTCTGTCACCCTCCCCACTATTGATAGGAGTCTTTGCTGAAATGATCCTTGTGAATTCCTGGGGTTTTCCCTAGTACCAGGATTCCCATCAACCACAAAATGCCCCCCCATACCAAGATGTCTCTTTAATTACTCTCCCCTTCCATTCTGCCTCCAACCCACTTCCTGCACCCAGCCCACCCAATCCACTTCCTGCACCCAGCCTACCCAACCCACTCCCTGCACCCAGCCCACCCAACCCACTCCCTGCACCCAGCCCACCCAACCCACTCCAAGTGCCATGCCTCTATTCCCTCCTCCCTGCCCCCAGTTTACCCAGATCTCTTCTATTTCCCTTTCCTAGGGAAATCCAAGCATTCCTCTTTGGGCCCTCTTTGATATCTAGCCTCTCTGGTGCTGTGGATTATAGGTTGGTTAACTCTTCCTAATATCCACTTACGAGTGAGTATATAGTATGCTTGTCTTTCTGTGTCTGAGTTATCTCACTCAGAATGATTTTTTTCCTATTTCCATCCATTTGACTGCAAATTTCATGATATCATTGTTTGTTTTACAGCTGAGTATTACTACATTGTGTAAAATATACTACATTTTCCTTATACGTTTTTTGGTTGAGAGGCATCTAGGTTGTTTCCAGGTTCTGGCTATTATGAATAATGTTGCTGTGAACTTAGATGAGCAAGTGTCATTGTATGATTGGCATTCTTTGGGTATATGCTCAAGATTGGTATAACTGGGTCTTGAGTTACATTGATTCCCATTTTTTCTGTGAAACTGTCATACTGATTTCCAAAGGGGCTGTACAAGTTTCCACTCCCACCAGCAGTGGAGTGTTACCCCACAACCTCTCCAACATAAGCTGTCATCAGTATTTTTTATCTTAGCCATTTTGACAGGTAAAGATGATATCTCAGAGTCGTTTTGATTTGCATTTCCCTGATGACTAAGGATGCTAAACAATTCTTTAAGTGTATTTCAGCCATTTGAGATTCTTCTGTTGAGAATTCTCTGTATAGGTCTGTACCCCATTTTTAAATTGGATTAGTTGATATTTTGATGTCTAGTTTCTCAAGTTCTTTATGTATTTTGGAGATCAGCCCTTTGTCAGATGTGGGTTTAGTGAAGATCTTTTCCCATTCTGTAGGTTGCCATTTTCTCTTATTGACCATGTGCTTTGCCTTACAAAAGCTTCTTGGTTTCAGGAAGTCCCATTTATTAATTGTTGCTCTCATGTACACACTACTGGTGTTATATTTAGGAAGGGGTCTCCCCTGCCAATGCATCCAAGACTACTTCCTACTTTCTCTTGTATCAGGTTCAGTGTAACTGGATTTATGTTGACATCTTTGATCCACTTGGACTTGAGTTTGTACATGGTGATAAATATGGATCTATTTGCAATTTTCTACATATTGACATCCAGTTATGCTACCACCATTTGTTGAAGATACTTACTTTTTTCCATTGTACAATTTTGGCTTCTTTGTCAAAAATCAGGTGTTCATAGGTGTGTGGGTTAATGTCAGGGTCTTCAATTTGTTTCCATTGGTCCACATGTCAGTTTTTATGCCAGTACCAAGCTGTTTTTATTACTGTAGCTCTATAAGAGAGCTTGAAGTCAAAGATTGGGAGGCCATCAGAGGTTGCTTTATTGTACAAGATTCTTCTAGCTATCCTGGGTTTTTTGTTTTTCCATATGAAGTTGAATATTGTTCTTTCCAGGTCTGTGAAGAACTGTGTTGGGATTTTGATGGGGATTGCATTGAATCTTTAGATTGCTTTTGGTAAGATTGCCATTTTCACTATGTTAATCTTACCTATCCATGAACATGAGAGATCATTCCATTCTCTGATATCTAATTCAATTTCTTTCTTCAGAGACTTAAAGTTCTTGTTATTCACTTGCTTAGTTAGAGCTACCCCAAGGTATTTTATATCATTTTTGGCTGTTGTAAAGGGTGATGTCTCTCTGATTTCTTTCCCAGTCCATTGATCATTTGTATATAAGGAGGGCTACTGATTTTTTTTTGAGTTTATCTTGAATCCTGCAACATTATTGAAGGTGTTTATCAGCTGTAGGAGTTCCCTGGTAGTATTTTTGGGGTCATGT